GGCGCCTGTGGTCCCAGCTACTTGGGAGGCAGAGGCAGGAGACTCGCTTGAGCCCAGGAGTTGGAGGTTGCTGTGAGCTGTAATGCCATAGCACTCTACCCAGGGGGACAGCTTGAGAGGTTCCGACCTCGAGATAATAACTTTCCAGACATCTAAGAACTGCAAATGTGTGTGTCAAAAAATGAATGTAAATAATTATTATAAACCACTTTGTAGCAAAAAAATTTTTTAAAAACTAGTTTGGTGATAGATACCTCAACTACCCTGACTTGATCATTACACATTCTATGCATGTAGCACTCATGCGTCCTCCATAAATACGTAAATTATTGTATATCGATAAAAAGGAAAAAAAATTAAACTTAAAATTTACAAAACAGAGCTTGAATCCAAAACCATAAAAGCTCTGTGTCACCTATACAGAATTTAAAACTGTTATAAAATTCTGCTACATGCACAAAGAACATTCTGAGGATCCAATCTGGTGGGAAAGAACTGTAATTCCAATTAGCTTGCCCTTTGAGAAACTGGGAAGTATTATACTTGCAGCTATAAATTCCAAGCTAAACTAAAAATTGAACTTTCTGTAAAGAATTAAGACCTTTATCCTTCTCAAATGTGTATCCTACTTTCCCCGGACTTCTTTTAACTATAGTGAAATGTCATTGCATTGTTGTAGATGTTACTAATTAGGCTGTTCAACAAAAGTATTGACAGCATACTACGTGCCAGACTATCCTTGGCAGACAGATGAATTAGTCATACTACACTCAGAGACACGTACTCTGAGGCAGCTATGTAAATAAATAATGAGGATCGCTAGTTTGGAAAGGAATGAATGGGGTAGGATGGGAACACAGAAAAAGGAATTGCTACCTCTGACTTTTGTACTAATAAGATTCCAAGCAAATTAATTCGGAAATTCGTAAAAATATAAAGGCTTCCAAAAACATGAAAGCAAACTTTAAAAGCATTTTAATATACATAAATTATGTATGGTATGTCTATTTTTGTTATAGTGATTAAAAATGATTCTTAACCATTCACAAGAACAAGAACTTTAGTAGGAACATTCTTTCCACTAACACTTGATTCTTCCAACAATTTATCTTAAAATTACTATTTAGGAGGGTGGCGCCTGTGGCTCAAAGGAGTAGGGCACCAGCCCCAGCCAAAAACTGGAAAAAAAATTACTACTTAGGGCTCTGGTATGCAAACAAATTACAGTATTTACAACTCTATGTATCTTTATTGAAATCTACTTAAAAGAACAGATGTCCATGTCAAAAACTTTATTAGCTTTTGGCTCAGCACCTATGGCTCAAACGGCTAAGGCGCCAGCCACATACACCTGAGCTGGCGGGTTCAAATCCAGCCCTGGCCCACCAAAAACAACAATGATGGCTGCAACCAAAAAATAGCCAGGCGTTGTGGCGGGTGCCTGTAGTCCCAGCTACTTGGGAGGTGGAGGCAG